CTCGCTATATAACTATATAGTATCCAAAGTGCATATTGGCAAAAAATAATACAATGGCAGCAGGCATAAAAACTTACAGCCTTTGCACCTATTTGATCTTGAGTCTCACTGCATGTTCTGTTATGGCCTCTTCATCCTCGTCTGAGGCAATCACACACAGGTAGATTCCAGGAAACTGCAGCTTTCTCTTTCACAAGATAAACAATCTTTATCTGACTTTGCAATTGTCTTAAAATTTCTCAAGACATGAAATTTCGTTGTACTTTCCTATTTCTCAATCAATTTCTATTATGATTTTATCTGTAGGAGATAAAAAGGGGGCAAATCTTCCTTTGTTGCATAAAAGTTTTCACTTCCCCTCAAGAAATCGTTTTACACGCAGAAATGAATTTCCGTCCATTAATTTTGCAGCTGATGCTTGCGACAATGCTAATGGTGACAAAAATTAATTTAGCATCTCAGCCCTTGCCAAAAAGCCCAACTCGTTGTAAAAGTCCACCTAACTTTACTGCCAATTACTATTCTGATGCATATTCTGTCTTTATTATTTGCAGTCCGAATGACAACACCACCAACCCATTTGTAAAATTCCGTGAATCTAATTTTATTCGCAGATCACCACCAACCCATTTTGATGGATACGTTAGAACTTCAGCTTACGTGGCTTTAATTTGTTACAACAAATGGGGTTCAGTAAATGGCAGCATTCTGGAGATCTTCTCGTCTGTATTGCAGAATTTGGACATATTGTTTCAACTACAACAAAATAAGATAGCTTCAGGTGATACAGAGATAGATGGTTTTCTCAAACCCGAACGACGTAAGATCTCTTTCAAACGCATTGACCAAGCTAAGATCTCTCTCAAACCCAATGGCCGTGCTAAGATCTCTACCTTTCTCCATATTGCTTTAATTGGTATGCTCTTTTGTTTTTCGTTTTGCAAAAAAACTTGTTCATAACTTAAAGGAATGTTCCAATTTGATCACTGAGATCGATTTTGTGAGTCCAAGCTAATGGTGAGGTTAATTTGGCTCATTGTATGCTTATGTTGAATACTGGTGGACCTTAACCTGAGGGTGTTTAATATATTTATAGTTGTTTTTGGTCGACCAAAATCTATTTTGTGTTGTTTGGTCTTCTATATGTTAGTTGACCACATGTTTCTGGATGTGTCAACTATGGTGTTGCCCTCCATTAGTTTCTGCAGACAAAATCGATTTCAGTGGCTAATGAGGTAAATATTATAAAGTTAGATGACTAAGTTTTCATATTTTAAAGTGAGCATGCCTATAAAATTCGAGGTCAGACAAAGTTCTTATTATTATTCCCTTTTTTTTTTTTTTTTTTTGGCTGATTGTACGTCCCTTCTTCATTGTTACATTTGGATTGATTCTTTGAAATTGATCGACTAGATGATTATCAGCAATAAGTGTTGTTATTAAAAAGGATAGGGAAAAACAATAAGAGACATGCTACACTTATAGAGATTATTTCATAGAATTTTTACAGATATAGAGTTGTCAGTTTTTCAAAGGTAGTTATGACAAAAAAGAGGGGGGACCGGGGTGTGGGGGGGTATAGAAAATGAGTTTTCATACATTGAAATAAAATACTGAATAGATGGATAATTTTCAGCAAACTAATGGTAACATTACATAGTCTGGGAATCAAAAGTAAATATATTTCATTAATCATGGTGGATGGCATCAAATTTTAGCATTACATATATGGAAAAAGATATTTGTACACCCAATTTCTTACCGAATGTTTTACACCCTATCACAATGTATGGTGGGCCCCGCATGAATTTAATAATGCAAAAATGTGGTCCCCACTCATGTTGTGAGTAGTAGGTAAAAGATTCGATTTAAAAATTCGATACGTGTAACATTGTCCTTATATATATATAGTGCAATTTGAACCTTGCACCAATCAATTCACACTGTCCCACGCCATGGAAGCTGCCATACATAATAAACATAACAACATTAGCCCAACAATCCAAATACATAATATATTATGTAAATTATTATATTATAGATACGTCAATTATTGGGGTTTAATGCATTTAATTAGAGATGTAACGAACACTGTATTTGTTAACTCTATTGAACGTGGGTTTTTGGCGCTTTTGTTGGTTTTGGCATTTCGACGTCACACCAAACTTTCTAACTCCGGTTGACTTCTCTAGAAGGGAGTTGGGAGATAACAAGGACAAAAAATGGTTAATTTTGAGTTTTAATTATAAACATGTTGTGATGCTAAGTCTTTGTTTGACAATCATTATTTGAAAATTCTTCTTTCTACGTTTTCATTTTCAATCTCATATTCATACAATAAAATGTTCTGTACATAAATCTGAATTTTTTCATATTTTTTAACTATACATTCTACACAGCCCCCACGTGGACCATGCAAAGCTGGCATGGCCTTCTTTACACGTGTGCCAAAAACCCATTGATATCAAGCGACACTAGGGAAAAAGAACTTATACCTACTCTAGCAATAGTCCAGTTGATGTTATAACAAAGTGCCCAGAAAAAATATACCCCAAGGCCCTGAGCCTTAGCAAACTTGGCTCTGAGCCGTATTATTTTTATAAAAATATATTTTTAAATAGTACATTGATGAAAAATATGTGATTAAAAAATTAAAAAAAATTGGATTTACAAATAATTATTATTTTATTAAAAAATATGTGGTTGAAATGATGTCAAATCACTGTTTAAGATGTATTTTTTTTAAAGAATGTGGGTCAAACGGAGCCTTAATTTCAGCTTGGGTGTTTGAAATATGAAGTAGGTATATTTGATGGTGGGAGTTTTTATGTTATGGCGACAACGGCACTAAAATCTAATTTGTATTGATGTTGTTTGTTTCATTTGTTACCATATTTGGAAGTTAGTGTTTGAATATATGTAAAATTTCGTAGCCTCCTTGTGCAAGGCGGTTCTTCGACAATCTTGGAATTCTTATTTTACTTCTTTGTATCCTAATTTTTGCAAGACTATGCCAATACTCTTGCCATTATCCAATATAGGTCATGCTATCTCCAATTGACATCATTATCATACTAGCGTTTACATTTTGCGTGGTTGTGAGCATCATTCATCGTATCTTTATATCGTTCGCTAACTTCTTCCACATTATAAACATCAACATTATTTTCATTGTTGCGTTGAGCAAGATTTGGTGTAGGGCCATCAAAATATGCTTTCATGGTAGCGGTGATGTCACACAGTACAGTGGTTTCAACAAACTTCAAAATAACATATGATTTGACAATTCCCAAAAAGCTACACAACCATATAACATTAAACAGTACTAAAAAGGAATAATGTGCTATTTGTCAATTAAGTCGAGTGCTTTACAAAAATGGCCAAATCCAATTTGCTTTTAATTAAATATTGGGTAATTATGATAGTTGTATATGTGCCCAACTAGTCATTTCTCTTGAACCTCCAATAAAATGATATACAATCATACTTGGTGTGCACTTTGGTGACACCATTAGAATGTACAAATGGCATTGTACAAAGATATAAATCAGAGTCAGCTCACAAAGTATCAGCATAAGTCATCGCTCCTCCTCCATCAACAATAACCAACACCACCAGCAAATGCATGAACCCAAAACCTACTAGCAAATAACAATTCGTTTGACTATTTCAACGTTTAGCAAAGTCTCCCCAAACAAATAGTCTTTCCTCTGTGTCTACACAACCAGATACCAACTCAGAACACCAATGCACGTTATTAAACAAAATATATTTTACAACAGATCAATCATAGTCCATTTACCCATATATCATCCCAATTCATAGTAAATAATGCATAGTGTTGCGTGTTGTCACACCTGGCCAACCTACCTAGGACAATGGCCCACTCTTGACGATCCACGTGGCATTCCTGTCGAGGTGGACTACATCCGAGCTGCTTCGAGCCGAAGTCCATCTGCCGAAGCTCCTTTTTGTCCGAGGCCCATTGACCGAGGCCTACGAACCGAAGTCAGGCTGTTGGAACTTGTTGAGAGCAGCTGAGGCCCTCAAGTGGAAGTATCATGACAAATGGCCGAAGCCCCGAAGCTGATGCGCGAGCCTCTGAACCACAAGGAAACATCCTCCATGGTCACTTCTCCCAAGAGATCGCCTGCACAGATCTTATTCGAATGATTGATGGAACGTTTGTCATAAGCATAAAGGTCAAGTCTTGTCACTAGCATGGAGGCCCTGCACAAGCAATAAATGCGCCGTAAGCTAGCAAGTCAAGCCCCATACCTAGGAAAGATGTTTGAACTAAAGAGATGAGGCCACGTGCCACTTCATCCAAGGGCTCCCATTTCATATGTACTACTATAAATACTTCCCTTGTGTAATATCAAAAGGCTAATGCAAGAATCAATACAAAGAACTACATTTACTCAACTCTCTCTCATTTTACTTGCAATACACAAATCGAGTTTATACACATTTACATATACATTTATGAACACTGGTTGGTAATTATTGTACAATCAGATTACGAACAACCCGCCGAATTTCGAACGTCACCATCCCGCGTCGTTGGACTACTCCCACGCCCTTTGAATCGCTCGTTTTAGATTGTCCACGTGTCTTAGAGTATTGGACATTCGCCCACGCAAACGCGGGTGGGACCGGCATCTGTTGGCGCACTTTTTGGGGTCAACAGATTGGCGCCGTCTGTGGAAAACCATACCATAACCACGAGCAACCTTGTGGTAAAAGCTTACTGAAAAATATTTGGACAACCCCCCTTGAAAAAGGATTTGTTCTTGAAAAAGAACAGGAGGAACCCCTATCACTTGGACAAATCTAAGTTTGATAAAAGAAATATGAGTTCTAATGAAGATACTCCCCCCAGGAGGGTAAGAGAAAGCACGAATGTACCTCCCCAGCCTGCTGCCCCAGCAGCTCGACCGAGGCTCTACCACTACCAAAGGATAGGTGGAATGCGTGCGACAGCATGACTGTCAAGAGAAATGGCTACCATGGCAGCCAACATAAGGGATATTGCCAACCAAAACTCCCTCATGGCCCAAATGCAAGGTCAGGGAGGTTTCCCCATTCCTCTATACGCCCCCCACGGGCACTATCAGCAAGAGGACGAGGTTCAGAGTCATAGGGCTGCCTCGCCAGACTATGGCCGAGGTGAAAGCCCGTTCGAGAGGGAAGTGGGAGTCGACATTTCCTCCAACTATGCTTCTGGCCGACCCACCGAGGCCCAAATGAGGCACGATGATTTTCCACCTCCATATGAACAAGATCCAAGACATAGGAGAGCTGGCAGTGTTTTTGACAGAATTAGCCCCGCCGAATCGAGGCTCAGTCAACAGCAGGCTCAGCAGCCTCGGATGAGGCCACAGCCTCCACCCCCAATGCCCCAGCAGTCGGAGAGAAGGCATGAAAATGCCCCCCGCGCTGCCCCGCAAAGGAGAGAGGAAAAGGCTAGGAACCGGCCCAGACCCTCTCACCAACAACCAAGGTACGAGGCCGATGACTACGATTCTGATGAGCAGCAGAGGTTCTGTGACTTGGACGATGATGATGAGAACCTGCCATTCTCAAGAGAACTAAGGAATGCCCAAGTCCCGAGCCACTACGTCATGCCAAAAATACCAAAGTATAACGGGAGAGGCGACCCGGAGAAGCACCTCAACGCTTACAAAACTCACATGAGCCTGAGGGGTGCCACCCCAGCCGTGAAGTACAGGGCTTTCCACTTAACCCTCAGTGGAGTGGCTGAAATCTAGTATAGCAGGTTGCCACCTGGAAGCATCCGAAGCTGGCCTGAGTTCAAGACAACATTCTTGAAGCGATTCGCAGTGAGCAAGGAAGGAGAGGCCCCCATCCAGCGTCTTTAAGACATGAGACAGGCACATGGGGAGTCCCTAAAGAGCTTCCTATCACGCTTCACTGACAAGATAACTTACTGCGTACAAGTCACCGACAGAGAAGCACTATCTGCATTGAGGGGAGGCCTGAACATGAACACCCTATTCTGGAGGGATGTGCAGAATCAAGACCCCACCACCTATGATGCCCTACTAGAGATGATGAGAAGGGAGATAATCAATGAGGAATTGATTGAGCATAGGAACAGGGCAAACAGAGGCGTCCCACCTCCTCAAAGGCAGCGAGGTAGGGGTCCGACCTCCCACCTCATGGACTACCAGATGAACCAGACTGGAAATGAGAACTCTGGACAAGCACTGGCCACCACAACTCTGAACGCGGTTCCTACCTTGGCATATGAGGATGTCAACCCAATTGTTGAGCCACATTAGATGGAGCCCCAGCGGGGACCCCGCAGAGGAAGAGGCCAAGGCCAAGGCTTTGCACCTAGAAATAGGTCCAATCCGAACCTCCCAGGATACTGTTTGCACCACAGGTCCTACGGACATGACACTACGGATTGTAGAGACTATGCACATCGCTCCAGACAGGAACCCGCCAGAGACAGACATGATTCGCCCCAGGCGAACAGGACCCCGCCCAGGCGCGACAACCGACGTGGGCGTGAGGAGGCCGCCCCCCGTCAAAGGGATAAATCCCCATGACGATGGGAGCATGATGCAGAGAGGCTTAGGGAAGGGCGTAGGCACCGAAGAAATCGGCACGCTCAAGATGAGGCCCCTATCCACGAGGTGGATACCATATTTGAAGGCCCTTATGTTGGTGGTGAAACACAAAACGCCAAAAGAAATTATGCTCGAGAAGCAAAACACCCCCCTTTGACGAGTTACATTGTGGACAATAGCTCCCGAAGAAATCAAGTACCATCCATTGTCTTCACCCAGGAAGACGCCGAAGGAGTTCATTACCCCCATTGCGATGCGCTTGTGGTGAGGGCTGTCATAGCCCGGAATGGGCTCAAATGAATGCTAGTCGACAACGGTAGCTCCTTCAACATCCTGTTTGGGTCCGCCTTTGACAAAATGATATTGGACCATTAGTTGACGCCCACCACCACTCCATTGTACGGATTTACTGAAGATAGCATCACTCTGAGGGGAAAGATAACACTGGCAGTGGAGATGGGAGAGTCTCCTCAAACTACGATGAACTTCATGGAATTCCTCATAGTTGATAGCCGGTCGGCTTATTACAGAGTCTTGGGCAGACCAGCCCTGAAGGAATTGGGAGCAGTCACTTCCATCCACCACCTATGCATGAAATTCCCGACAGAAAACGGGGTGGCAACGGTGAGAGGCGACCAGAGAGGCTCGAGAGAGTGCTATCTAAGCTCTATTAAGAAGGTAGAGCCCCGAGAAGTCCACGTGATCATGGCTGATGTGGTCATGGCGGATGCCCCAAGTGACGCTCCCGCTGAACAAAAAGATGTTGATATGATTGACGCGCCGCTTAATCCGGAGGTGCTGATCATTGATGAGATTGACCCTCGCATAATGGAACATGAGCCTCAAGCATCCCCTGTAGAGGAACTTGAGAGCTTCTTGACCGACCCCCGAGACCCTTCCAAGGTGCTGAAGGTAGGCAAAGGCCTATCCAACATTTTGAGAGAAAGGATTAAGGACTTCCTAGGCAAGAACCTTAACATCTTTGCTTGGAGGCATGAGGACATGGTGGGCATTGACCCCAAGGTCAGCTGCCACCACTTGAAAATTGATCCTAAGGTTGCCCCGCATGGATAAAAAAGGAGAGCCCTCAACCCTAAGAGGTATAAGGCCCTGAAGGAAAAGGTTCGGAAGCTCATCCAAAATGGCTTCATCGGGGAGGCCACCTATCCGAGGTGGGTTTCCAACCCAGTCCTGGTTAAGAAACACAATGACAAATGGAGGGTATGCATCGACTTTACCAACCTCAATAGAGCTTGCCCGAAAGACAGCTTTTCGCTTCCAAGGATTGACTAATTGGTAGACTCCACGGCCGGGCACGAGTTGTTGAGCTTCATGGATGCATACTCCGGCTACAACCAAATCCCCATGCATCCGGCCAATAAAGAGCACACCTTTTTCATCACGGACCGAGGTCTCTATTGCTATAGAATGATGCCCTTCGGGTTGAAAAACGCCAGAGCAACCTACCAAAGACTCGTGAACAAAATGTTTACGGACTTCATTGGGAAGACAATGGAGGTCTACGTGGATGACATGCTGGTGAAGAGTTTAAAAGCAGAGGACCACATAGCGCACCTCAACAACACCTTCCAAATCCTTAGAAGGTACAGGATGAGGCTCAACCCGCTGAAATGTGCATTTGGGGTGGCTTCCTGCAAGTTCTTGGGGTACATGGTCAACCAACGAGGAATCGAGGCCAACCCCGAGAAGATTGAGGCTTTGTGCCAGATGAGGTCCCCCCAAAAGCCAAAGAAAGTGCAAAGCTTAACTGGATGAGTGGCAGCACTTAGTCGCTTCGTCTCCAAAGCGACTAACAAGTGCCTCCCATTTTTCAAAGTGCTCAAGGCTGGGAAGAAATTCCAATGGACTGAGGAATGTGAAGAGGCCTGAAAAGGCACCTGGGATAGGCCCCCCTCCTCTCCAAGCCGAAGCCAGGTGATATCTTGCAATTATATCTGGTCGTCTCCAATGAGGTCATCAGTTCAGTTCTGATTCGAGAAGAAAGGTCCACCCAACTCCCCGTCTACTATACGAGTAAAGCGCTCCTATCGTCGGAAACCCGTTACCCCAATATGGAGAAGCTCGCTCTGGCCTGAATCACAGCCTCCAGGAAATTGAGACCCTACTTCCAAGCTTACACCATCATCCATGTACTTACAAATTTTACCCTGAGGCAGGTACTCCAAAAGCCCGATGCCTTAGGAAGACTATTGAAATGGGCAGTGGAACTAAGTGAATTTGACCTTGTGTTCAAGGCTAGGGCTACCATCAAGGGGCAAACCTTAGCTGATTTTGTGCCTGAATTCGCCAACCTACCTGAGGTGGATGCAATTATGGAACCCATTGAGCCCCCCACGTGGAGCCTCTTCGTCGATGGTTCAACTGGGGAGCTCGGCTCAGGCGCCGGTGTTGTCCTCATCAGCCCTGAAGGTTACAAGCTCACCTCGGCGGTGAGGTTCGGATTCAAAGCCACCAATAATGTAGCGGAGTATGAGGCACTCCTTACGGGCCTCAGACTAGCCAAGGAAATGCAAATAAAGAGGCTACTCATCAGTAGTGACTCCCAGCTAGTTGTTAGCCAGGTCAATGGTAACTTCTCAGCCAAAGACAAAACGATGGCCTCCTATCTGAAAACCGTGATGAACCTCATCCTGTCCTTTGAAAAGTTTGAGTTAATCCAGATTCCCCGCATCGAAAACACACATGCGGATATACTCTCGAAGCTTGCTAGAAGCAAAGACTCAGAGCTACTCACAGTAGTTCCTATTGAGCACCTCCTCCTGCCTTCTACCGAGGCCCCTAATGTAATGTGGATCGCGGGAACTCCCACCTGGATGCAACCGATCATAGCATATCTGAAGGACCAGGTGCTGCCCACCAACAAGAATAAAGCTTATAAGCTAAGGAGGAGGTCGGCCCACTTCCTCTTCATTGATGACATTCTCTACAAGAGAAGCTTCTCCTCTCCACTCTTACGATGCGTCGGAGGAGAAGAGGCTACCTACATACTAAGAGAAATCGACGAGGGAGTGTGCGGCAACCACTCCGGAGGCCTATCTCTGGCACAAAAAATACTGAGGCAAGGGTACTACTGGCCTACCCTAAAACGGGACGCCCTCGAATTCATACGAAAATGCGACAAATGCCAACGATTCTCTCCCGTGCAAAGACAACCATCACAGGACTTGACTGCAGTCTACAGCCCCTGACCTTTCTCAAAATGGGACATGGACCTCATAGGTCCCCTACCTAAGGATAGAGGAGGTGCAATTTTCACAATAGTGGCCATTGATTACTTCACAAAGTGGGTCGAAGTTGAACCGCTAGCAAAAATCACAGAAGCTAGCACTTCCAAGTTCCTATGGAAAAATATTATTTACCGATTCAAAATTCCCTACTCGATCGTCTCAGACAATGGCAGGCAGTTTGACAACAAAAGGGTCAGAGAACTATGTGAGGAGCTCGACATAAAGAAGCACTTCTCCACACCTCACCACCCTCAAGCAAATGGCCAAGTGGAAGCCGTAAACAAGACCATCAAGCACGTCCTAAAAAGGAAGCTTGATGTATCCAAAGGAGCTTGGGTTGATGAGCTGCCCCAAGTACTTTGGACGATCCGAACCACCACCAGGACCCCAACCAGGGAGACCCCTTTTCTCATGGCATATGGGACTGAGGCGATGAGCCTCGTGGAGGTCGGACTTCCATCTCCACAACGTCTGCACTTCAGCGAAGTAACTAACGACGAGCTTCGGAGGCTCGACCTCGATTTCATTGAAGAGAGAACAGACGACTCCTAACTGAAGCTCGGCACCTCTTAAAGAAAAATGACAAGGTACTTCAACTCCAAAGTTAAGAAGAAGTCATTCCGAATCAACAACCTTGTACTTAGAAGGGTCTTCCCATCTTCAAAAGAACCTGGTTCCAGTTCCCTAGGCCCAAATTAGGAAGGCCCATACAAAATCAGAGAGGAAGTTCGACCTGGCACCTACTGGATTGAAGACATGGACGGCAAGGCACAACCCCGTCCATGGAACATTGAGCACCTCAGGATCTATTATCAATAAATTGTACCAACATGCTGGATGACATTCCCCAGCCTTTGTAATATTTCTATGGTTCAATAAAATTCATTGGTTAAATCAGCGTGTTGTACTGCGTCTTCACCTCGGAGGAGAGGCTCGGGACCCACCTCTGGGCCACCTCGCTTGAACTTCGAGGTGCTAGCACATGCCTCCCTTTGGCCTTGCTGAACGCAAAGGGGAGAAGCCTCAACATGGCTGCACTACCCACCATGTCTGGGATGTGTCGTCACCTTAGAAGAGAGGCTCGGGACCCACCTCTGGGCACTTCGCTTGAACTCCGAGGCGCTTGCACATGCCTCCCTTTGGTCTTGCTGAACGCCAAGGGGAGAAGCCTCAACATGGCTGCACCATCCACCATGTCTGGGATACGTCTTCACCTCGGAGGAGAGGCTCGGGACCTACCTCTAGGCCACCTCACTTGAATTCCGAGGCGCTAGCACATGCCTCCCTTTGGCCTCGCTGAACGCCAAGGAGGGAAGCCACCACCGCTACAGTCTGAGGCTCCTTAAGTTATGTTCATTTGCTTAAGTCCGAGGCTCACACAGTTCATTTTAAGTTGTTCATTTGCTTAAGTCCGAGGCTCACACAGTTCCTTAAGTTATGTTCGCTTATTTTAGTTCG